AAATTTCTTAAGTTTGAAGGTGATGGAGGAATTACATGTAGGAATTCTAAAGTTAATTTTTTATCTGGCGCTACCCTGCTTTCTTTCCTATCAGACTTAGATTGTGCCTTTGTAAATATCAATGAATAGTGAGTACATTTTAAACACATTTAACTGAAGGTCTTTGTTCAGTTTGTTATGAACTGGTTGCCTGTTCAAAAACATTTGAAGATGTAGCAAAATCTTTGTTAAAACTGCATTTAAGTATTGTTTGAATGAACTTATAGGTTTTCTCTCTTAAATTTATTTTTTTAATTTAGGTACCTTTATTTTTAGTACTCTTAATAATAGAGTTTCAGGCATACAGTGTACCAACACCACACCCACCACCAGTGCCAGAGTCCCTTCACTAATTGGATTTATCTTTTATCAGTTCTGCTGCAGAGTAAAATTAAAGACAGGAGCAAGTTGATAAATACTATTTCTAAATATAAAACAGGAGCTTTTTTTTTTTTAAAAAGTAGGTAATTCTTTGAACATGATACTATTTATTTAGTAAATGTAGTATATTCTGCATTTAGTAAAAAATTATATTTTGTAAGGTTATAGAAGAATTTATAAGGTTTTTGATAGAATTGAAAATGATTTGAGAACTTTTGGAGGACATTTGAATAAATAGGTATTAAGAACTTTAATAGTTTGGTCTATTTTTTAGGGGAGGACATACCCTGTTGTGCTCAGGGCTTGCTGTTGTGCTCAGGGCTTGCTTTTGCCTCTGTGCTCAGGGATCTCTTCTCACGGGTCTGGGGGTTACCATATGTGGTGCAGGGATTGAACCTGGTTTGGCTGTGTGCAAGGCAAGTGCCCTACCTGCTGTACTATCTCTCAGGCTCCTTATCTACTTTTTAAATAATATATATGACAAATGGAGGGAGGGGAGTGGAAGGGTTGGCTAACCACCAGTATGTTACATGAGTTATTGTCTAAAATGTATGATAAACTGCTGAAAAAACTTCTTCCTTAATTTTTGATTATTGAACACAAAATAATGCCATAGTTAGGTGGTATTAAAAATAAGGCAATGGCAAGAATAAGTTTGTAATATTCAAACATGAACTAGCAGGCATTTTATCTTGCCACAGGGAGCCTTGGACTTGGAGTGCTAATGACAGATAAGACCTCTTGGGCCAGAGTGAAAGGGCAGTCTGGTGACTTTTCATTGACATTTCAGAAGTTCTAGAAATTACCAAGATTAGTTTTGCACACTGTTTTAGCTAGAGTATATGTCAGTTATTTGAATATTAGTTTTCTGAAAATATACCTCACTTTTTTTTTTAAGAGAGATAACAATGGTAGCTTTTTTTGGGGGGGAGGGGGACCTCATTGATTAGAGAATGGTGTGCTCAGGGTTTACTCCTTGCTCTGCACTCATGGGTCACTCCTGGTGGGGCTTTGGGGGACCATATGTAATGCTGGATGGAGATGAAACGAGGTTGGCCCTATGCAAGGCAAGTTTCCTACCCACTGTACTATTACTCTGGCCCCAATGGTAATCTTTCTCTCTCTCTCTATCTCTCTCTCTCTCTCTCCTCTGCACTCTGTGCTTAGGGATCCCGATCCCTCCTACTGGTACCTGGGACCATGTAGTGGTGATAATTCCACACATACCCCCTGCATGCAAAAGCATGCATTTGGCCCTTGAAGCTATTTCCCTGTCCAGGCTTTTCTTTTTGGCTTGTATCTAAAATATCTTGAGAGGAACACAAGCCTTCCCTTGAAAGCTTGATTCTGGTTTAGATTACATATTTTTCTAAGTTTACCTACTGACAATTTTAGCAGCTATGTTCTTCATCTCTTTACTTTCTAATTGCATCTGAGTTTTTGGCTAGTATATTCCTAAAATGTTTTCTAAATGCTTGGAACATAGCATTAAAAAAAAAAAGTAACATTGAATCAAGGATGAATTGGACTGTTTCAGAACTTCTAGAAACTTAAAATCTTCCTGCTTCTTAGTTCTTCCTTCTTCCTGCTTCTCTCTCTTTCATCATTCTGAAAACTGAGAATTAAAAGGCTTTTTTTTTTTTTAAGGCAAAAATTGGCTGAGGTATCTGAGATAGAGGGGTTAAGGTGTGCTGCCTTCTCTTCCACTTGACTGACTAGTTCAGTCCCTGTCACCACATGGTCCAAGCATTGCTGGGTGCATCTGCCAGGGTGGCTCAGGTGATTGCTGGCACTGCAGTGCCTGAGCAACACTGTACTCTGGCCCTTGCGTAGAACCTCCACCTGAGAATTGCTGGGAGGGGCCTCTTGAGCACTGCTTGAGGTCCTCCCTTCCCCCCAGTGAAGCAAAACCAGAATTGGCTGAATTAGTTCTTAACTCTCCAACTGTAATAATATACAGTAGAAAAATTTCTCTTATTGACCCATTTTCTTGGTGGTGTGTATGTGTGGAAGGAGGGCCAGGCTGTGGTTCTTAGAAGAGACCATGTAGTGCTGGGGATCAAACCAGATTTATGCATGCAAAACATGCACTCTAGCCCAATGAAGTGTCTCTCTAGTCCTAATTCCTTTCTTTAAGTAAAATTTGGCATTTAACGTTGTACTAGACTGGTTATGAATTATAATAGCATATCACAAGGTTATGTTGTGTATTTAGATTTTAGAATGTCTTTGCTCATTCACTCAGCAATTTTTTTACTGAGTACTGGCAAGTGACTATATACTGGAAAAACAACAACAAAAAAGATGATAGTGAATGTCACCTTCTCTCTAGGACCCTGATTGCTCATCTCTTCTGAAATATACATCTCAAAGGTATACATAGCCATGGAGGTAGGAACGAAGTATTAGAACTTCTTTAATTTCCCAGCACTTAAAAGTTGTGTTTACTTGGGGCCAGCGAGATCATACAGGGACGAAGATGTGTGCTTTGCATGCAGGCAGACGTTGGTTTGGTCCCAGGCACCACATAATTCCCTTGAGTTACAACAAGGTGCTTCAGTACTGTGGTTCCTGGAACTGCAGAGCCCCCTGCATCCTCAGTCTTTCTCGTTGAATCATTCACTTGGCTGGCCCAGAATTGCAGAAGGGGCCCCTGAACCGCCTAAGAAATGTTTGTGGGTACACTCCCCAGCCTCCTCAAATAAAAGTTGTGTATTCTAGTGGAATAATTAAGCATGTAGTAGAGTCCTTCTTTTTTTTGAGCCTTTACATTTTGCTTTTTGATCAACTTTAAAAATGAACTACCCAATCAAGATTTTACTGATAGATTTTGATAGTCAGTTTTCACAGTTGGACCTTTTTGGGATGAACTCTTGTTGGGATGGATTTCAAATACTCTATTCTTGAAGTACTTATTTGCCTTCATCTGAATTTGTGAATTTTACCAGTGAATGCTCTTGCACTGTTGTGGAATTGTGAATTTTGGTTAAGCCTTTTGCTGGTGGACCCAGATGTTATGTGTAAGAGAGAAAGGGGGACAGTTTAGCATTTTGTGTTTATATGTGTCACCTAAGTAGTCACAAAGGTGCTTTTGTTCATAAACTCCAGTTTGATACTCCCTGTGGAGTGTCAGTGATAAGAGGTGATAAATATACCAGTGAACCTTGGATTTTGGGGAAACTTGTAGAATAAGGTGACATCTGTTGATGGTTAAATGCTTCCCCATTTACTAAACTGAATAGTAGTTTGTTTCCTTCTTGTTCATTGTTTCTCTTTGTGCTTGGGTTAGTGAGACTTCACACTAACAGCCTTTAGCACTGCCTTGCAGAAAGATATGTAAGTAAATGAGAGTGCGCAAAATAATCAACCCAACCCAGAGCCAGATATTTTCTCAAGAGGAAGCAAAGAGTTTTGTCCCTGGATTATCTGATAGCGCACAGGACAAGTTAGGAAAGTGATTATTTCTGCTAGGACTGAGAAAAATCTATTTTGAATACACTACAAGTTAATGCTGAGGGTTTTATGTTAAATAGCTGCAAAGAGTGAAAGGATTTTATTTATAAATTAATAGGTAGTAGTTTGATTGTGATTCTGAAAAAACTTAAAGCTGGGATAGTAAATTCTTTTTACAACATATCCAGGAAGCGTGACTGCTCCCTTCAGTTTGTTTCTGCTGGATCTTCTGGGCTTCATGATATTTGTGGGGCTTTTGTTTTTATATGTTTTATGTATACCTGGTGATGTTAGGGGTTACTTCTGGTATGGTGTTTGTGGGGGGGTCACTCTGGCAGTGTTTCTGGGGATGGTACTTGGGGCTCCCACATATAAAGTAGTCACTCTATAGTTTAGCTATTTCCCTGGTCCATGATTCATGTGTTTAAATTGAGCACTTCATCTCTTTCTACATTCTAATTAGAAGTACTTCTGTTCCTCTAATTTACAGGAAAGAGCTCCTGTTAATAATTACACAAAAGTCTGATAAAACTAGTTTTTTGGTGTTCATTATTGTATCCAGACACATGGGGTAAATGATGAAGGTTTACCTTCAGAGGTGGAGGCCTTCCTTTAGCAACCTTCATTATTGAGGATTTAATATTTATTAACATAAGGACCGATAGCACAGCGGTAGGGCGTTCGCCTTACAAGCGGCCAACATGGCCGACCCGAGTTCATTCCTCCGCCCCTCTCGGAGAGCCCAGCAAGCTACTGAGAGTATTCGATATGCCAAACACAGTAACAACAAAGTCTCTAATGGAGACGTTACTGGGCCCGCTCGAGCAAATCGACGATCAACGGGAGGGCCTTTACCTTACCTTAACATAAGGACCAGAGTGATTGTACAGCGGCATCGGGGAATGGTGCTTGCCTTGCGTGCAGCTGACCTAGGTTTGATCCCAAGCACACAGCATATGGTCCCTTGAGTCTTGCCAGTAGTGATCCCTGACAGATCCAGGAGTAAGCCCTGCACACTACCAGTGTGGCCTAATACATGAAAATTCCATGAGACTTTCTTTAAAGTCTTCAAATTCATCACTATCTTATGAGTAAAGTTGAGGGAAATTGATTTTTTTTTTAAAAACAGTTATGAGATTAAGTGTCCCTGGCTGCAACAGGTGTCAATCAGACAGGTATAGCTAATTAAGAAACAACTTTCCTTTAAGCAGGGAAAATGACAACACAACACTTAGAGCTTATATTGTATTCTAATTCCTGTTTGGAAATTGTTATTTTAAAACTTGCTATAACATAGTTTTTGTAGTACTTGATCCTGGACGTATTAACATATTAAAAACAAATAAGGAAATGAGATTTTACAGAGAAATTTTTCCATCTTCTCTTTACCTCTGTAGATTGTTTTAACATTGTATCCCTTGTGGATAAAACCTTTGAAGGTTTGCTCTTGGTGGTTTTTTTTTTTTTTTGCATTTTGGGTCACACCCAGCGATGCACAGGGGTTACCCCTGGCTTTGCACTCAGGAATTTCTCCTGGCAGTGCTTGGGGGACCATATGGGATGCTGGGAATCGAACCCAGGTCGGCTGCGTGCAAGGCAAACGCTCTACCCGCTGTACTCTCCAGCTCGGTTTGCTGTGGTTTATTACCTTTCCCTGACCTAGGAGAGAATAGTGAGATTCCTTGATCAGAAGGACCCATCTATCAAGGTCGGTAACCCCCAACCTTTCTCATGATAATAAATGATCCCTATTCCAATCTAGTTGGTAAGGTCAGAAATCTAAAGACAGATTCAGTTCATCCTTTTCTTTTACCCTATTTGGCTCTGTTACCTGGTCCTTTTTTTTTTTTTTTTGGTGGGGAGAAGCGAAATGGGGGGCACACGCATTGATGTTGGAGGTGGGGAATTTTTGTGGTGACAGGTACTGAACACACACCTCTTCCACATCCAGCGCCCCCCTTCGCAAAGCAAGTGCTCTAGTGCTTTGAGCTATCTCCCCAGCCCTAGTCCAGTTAATTGAATATTCAGTCCTGTGCGTTTACTTCTGATTATTTTCACTGCCATAGCTCTAGTCCCAGCTGCCATCATCTCTTACTCAGATACTGTCCTAGTTTCACATGCAGCCAGTGTAATCTTAAAATTCAAATCAGATCCTATGATTTTTCTCTGAATCTAACTTCTCATTAGCCTGGATAGGCTCTTTACAAAATTTCACATCTGTTTCTATTTTGGGGGGTTGGGATGAGGGTTTGGACCACACCCAATGATGCTCAAGGCTTATTCATGGCACTGTGCTCAGTGATCACTCCTGGTGGGTCGGGGGACCATATATGGTGCTGGGATAGAACCTGACTTGGCCTTGTGCAAGGCAAGCTCCCTACTGACTGTGTTACTGCTCTGGTCCTTCACATCTGTTTTATTTGTTATAACTAAAAGTTCCAGCTCTGTGAGGCCGTGTCATGCTTTATGCAGTGATCTTCTCTCACAAAGTTGTGGAGTTTTTTTCACTTTGTTTTGTTTTTGGACTATGCCTGGTGGTGCTCAGGGATTACTCCTGATTTTGTGCTTAGGGATCATTCCTAGCAGTACTGGGCACCTTATGTGATGCCAGGGATGGAACCATGGAGGGCGGCAAGGCAAACACCACAACCTGTCTATTTCTCTGCCATTATGTTCTGTTCAACTTAATATATAAAAAATTATATAATTTAGGGACTGGAGTGATAGCACAGCAGGTAGGGTGTTTGCCTTGCACGTGACCAACCTGGGTTCAATTCCCAGCATCCCATATGGTCCCCTGAGCTCCTCAAGGAGTTGTTCATTGATTTGCTCGAGCAGGCCCAGTAATGTCTCCATTGTGAGACTTGTTATTATGTTTGGCATATTAAGATATTCTCGGTAGCTTGCCAGGCTCTCTGAGGGGGTGGAGGAATCGAACTCAGGTTAGCCAGGCTGGTTGCATGCAAGGCAAACGCCCTACCACTGTGCTATCGCTCCAGTCCTTATATATACACACACACACATACATATATGTATATATACACACACACACACACACACACACACACATATATACACACACACACACACACACATACATCACTAGTGGCGTTCAGGGGCTATAGCTGGTAGTTTTCAAGTTCTACTCCTGACTCTGGGATCACTCCTGGGCATCAAATTATGGTGCCAGGGACTGAACTGGTCAAATACATATATGGGAATTCTTTAAACCTTGTATTCTCTCTGGTCCCATATGTTGGTGTTGTGTGTGTTGTGTGTTTTTTGGGCTTGGGGGATCTATCCCAGGGATTCATACATACGAAGCTTCCTCTTTATCATTGGGCCACATCCCTTGGTCTATTACACTGTTTTGAATAGTTTATATATAGCTCCTATCATAATATGTAATTACGGTTATTGTCAGTCATGATGCTGAATCTCCAGTGCCAAGATAGATGCAGTGCCTGGTGTATTTTAAGTGTTCAGTAAATATTGAATAGCTGGGTGGATGTATAAATGATGGAGAGATTGGAGAATTTACATAATGTTTGTAATGTGAGATGATGAAAGGAGCTGTCAGAAAGTGAGTAAATTAAGCAGTGTGTCCATCTTAAAATCTGTTTTTTTCTTTCTCTTTCTCTTTTTTTTTTTTTTTTTTTGTGGTGCTGGAGCCTCACATGCAATATGCAATGCAGGTGCTCTGCCACTGAGCTACATCCCTGGCTCGCCCTCAAAATTTAATTTCCTTTTATCAATTATGAAAGAATATGTGCTGATGACTTTTTTGGTGGTGATAGGTGGGCCACACCCAGCTGTGCTCAGCTTACTCCTGACTTTGTGCTCAAGAGTTTGGCTTTGTGCAAAGGGCTCACCTCTGACAATTCTCGGGGAGCATGTATAGTGCCCAGGATCAAACCAGAATTGGCCACTGATAAGGCACGCCACTTAACCCCTGTACTACCTCGTTGGCATTGTGCTGAAGATTTTTAATGATAAGCATGTAAGAACCCTAACTACAGTATGTAATTTTGTCTGCTTAGTTTAAATATTTAGAGTTGAAAACTTTATTTCCTTTTGTTTTGGGCCACACCCAGTGGAGCTCAGGGTTACTATAGATAACTGCTGGTAGGCTCAGGGAACCATATGGGGTGCTCAGAAGAGAACCCAGATCAGCCACATGCAAGGCAAATGCCGTACCCACTATACTATCTCTCTGGCCGTCGACTTAATGTCTTATAATGTTCTGACTGTTCACTGACTATTCAACTAGTATGGCAATATTTTGTTCATCAGTGCTTGAGAATAAGGGTCTGGAGAGAGACTAGTACAGTGAATAGGGCACTTGCCTCGTATGCATGCAGTGAACCTGGGTTTGATCCCTGGCTCTCTATCTAATCCCCTGAGCACCACCAGAAGTGATTCCTGACCACAGAGTCAGAAGTAAGCCCAGAGCACAGCCAGATGTGGTCCCAAAATTAAACCAACCCAAAACAGAACAAAACAAAATCTTTGAAAATGTATTTTGGTAATATATAGCATTTAGTAACTTTTATTCTGAAGTGACTTATATTTTAATAATGATATTCAAGTATTTTTATTCATAATGACAGATGTCATCTTACTCTCATATGTGAAGTTTAGAGTTGGAAACTTGCTTAAAGTGTTTTACAGTACTTTAAAAACTGAGACCAAAAAAATCACATCTATATATAGAGCAATGTCATTGGTTCAAAATAATCCATTTAATGAAATAAAATTAAATAATTAAGATTTTTCCTGTGCTGGGGATCCAACCCAGAGAACACTTGAAAGGTTAAATGTTCTACCATTGAGCTATATCCCTGGCCTCATTGTTTTATGACAGTAATGTATGCACATGAGTTAGAATCAAATGGTTCTCAGGGTTTGTATGAAACCAACAAAACTGTTGTATTTCTTCCTTTGCCTGTTTTCCTCTGTCCCTTGGCTAATACTTTTTTGTGTGTGTGGGAGTGGAGTTTAGGCCACTCAGGGAAGGCTGGAGTCATAGTACAGTGGGTAGGGTACTTGCCTTCCATGCAGCAAACACGGGTTCAGTTCCTGGCACCCCGTATGGTTTCCTAAGTTCTACCAGGGGTGATCCCTAATAAAGGAACCAGGAGTAAGCCTTGAACAAGCAGAGTGTGGCTGAAAAACAAAAACAAAAACACTCTTTGGTCCCCCCCACTCAATATTCCTGGCTGTGTACTCAGGGGGCCTTATGTGATGCCAGAAATCAAAGGAGGGTCGGCTGCTTGCAAGGCAAGCACTTTACTTGATCTCTCTAACTCATTGGCTAATACTTTTAACACTTTCACGGTCACGGTCCTCCCGTTATTCATCGATTTGCTCGAGTGGGCCCAGTAACATCTCTATCGTGAGACTTGTTGTTACTGTGTTTAGCATATTGAATACTTCCCGGGTAGCTTGCCAGGCTTTGCCGTGCAGGCGAGATACTCTTGATAGCTTGCCGGGCTCTCCGAGAGGGGTGGAGGAATCGAACTCGGGTCGGCCATATTGGGTGCTTGCAAGGCAAACGCCTTAGTTTATTAATTTGGTCTTTATCCTTATATTCAGAATAATGTTTGTTTTTGTGGTGTTAGAGATTTAACTCAGGACCTCAGACATGTGAGGAATGTAGTCTGTCACTGAACTTCATGTCCAACTCCCAAATATTGTTTTCTGTTGCATTTCTTCCACCATCCCCCGTCCCGCCACCAAGTACCAGTTTTATCTCTCTGACTCCTTCCATCTCTGCTGTTTGTCCTTGTATAACTTTCATCTTGATATCCTCCGTTACTTTTTTTGTTTTACAATGCAGGGGTATTGCTATTTATTCAGCCATCGATTAAGATAATTGAATTTCTTCCTTTACTATTATTCTGTAGAGTCCTGCTGTAATGTCTCTCAAGCCCACTGTTTTTTTTTTCTTTCTTGTGTTATGGTTCCATTTTGGTGGAGCTCATTCTGAGGTTCTTACACTGGGGTGCATAGGACAGGCCAGAAGTACTGGACCAAGAGTTAAAACTTTTTTTTTTCTTTTTGGGTCACACCCTCCAATGCACAGGGGTTGCTCCTGGTTTTGGACTTAGGAATTACTCCTGGTGGTGCTCAGGGGACCACATGGGATGCTGGGAATCGAACCCAGGTCGGCCGCATGCAAGACAAATGCCCTATCCACTGTACTATTGCTCCAGCCCCAGATTAAGACATTTTTGCCTTGCATGTGACTGACCCTGGTTCCA